TGAGGGGAAAATCCCCCCTCCCCCAGTGTTGGAGGAGTCCGACTATAGGAAATGCAAATCAAACAGCTGTGCCTTTCAGCAATGTATCTCATCACAAGGTAGAGCAAAGCCACGCGCTTGGAAGCTCTCCTTCGATAGGCCCTGCAATATATTTGTACTAAGCACTGATTCTTTTAAGTACTGGAAGTGCATAAAAATGAACAGTCAAGTGTCAGGAAGAGACTATGTCCCAGGTGTGGTACATTAAGGGTCACTGTACTGTAGTTGTCTCTAGTTACATGGAAAGAAAATACCCCAGTAAGTGACTTCACAACATTACAACATGCACTTAATCTTAATGAGAAGGGAGAGGTTGCGGCTAACAGGTTGGGTTGTTTTTTTTCTAGTTTCGTTTCAAACTAAGCACATCCCCAGGAACAGGAGCTGTCTTCTAAATCATTAAACTGTAGTTCTGAAGAAAACTCGGCACTACTGTAACGTTGTTCAAACAAACAGTTTTCACCCCGGCTGTGAAGAACTGATGACTCGGACTATGCAAATGGTCAAGAAATCCCCCATAAGCCAGGCCAACTCCCCTTGTTTCATAAGTAATTTCACACTCACAGCTCGGAATCCAGTTTGTCAAAAGCTCCGCTAAAGTTCATGTTCGATCCCAACAAACATGGGGCCAAGTCTGAGAGAATCTGGGCTGATGTATGGGTTTCTCTAGCGCATAGGTGAGATTTGCATTTTCTTTCAGGCTGAATTTGTTCGAACTCAGAATTCAGAGGGAAGATGGAAGCCCAAAGAAATGCCTTCACCAAAGCCAGTGTGTCATGCAGCCCGACAACTCTGGTTGCATCTCTTTCAGCAGGTACTGTAGATTGGCATTTTTCCAGCAAGCTAACACACATGTCTCATAGCTAACACACATCCTACTTTACAGGATGATCCAACAGAACCCAATACAATCCTGTTACCTTTCACACACTATCCTCCCCCTCCCCGCAATGTACCAAATACGCCTTTGACGAATGGCTGGATTGTGCCCTGCTTGCTTGTGCCAAGCAGCTCCTCACTCCATAAGGAGCCACACAGACCTGTGAAGAAGGGTGCTGCTCACCGTGAATATAGGTGGCACAAACTGGGACTGCAAAAGAAAATGGGCCCTAGAGTTGGAAATGGAAGCAATGAAGCCATCAGTGAGTCCCCACCCGAGTCCCCTTGCCAGGGACGGGGTCTCTCCTGCAGGAAGCGTGGGGGTGCTTTGGCCAGTTTGCTATTTCTTGTCCAGAAAGGGCTCGTTGTGAAATCCACACTCACCGCATGTAAAACAAGAGCCCTTTCCCACCCATTGCCCCTCGGATTCCTGGCCTACAGGTGACTCTGCTTTTATGGTCTGTTCTCTAGCACGATTGATAAGTGATCCCACCTGGCCCTCTTGGAAAAGGCCACACTCCACCATGCCTCTCTGGCTGGTGACTCCCTCAGTGAGGAAATTACAAAGGGCTCCTAGGAAGTTTAGTTTAGGCGTTGGAATTTCCATATCTGGTCAATGGTTTGGGAGCACGAAGAGCAGGGGCAGCAGGCTGGCAGGTTAGGTGGATGCAGTGTGTGTGTGTGTGGGGGGAGGTAGTTTGGAGGATGGATGTGTCGTGGGGGGAGGGTGGATGTGCTGCGGGAGGGGGTAGTTAGGAGGATGGATGTGCAGGATGGATGTGTCGGGTGGGGGGTAATTAGGAGGATGGATGTGCAGGGGGGGAGGGGGAGATGTATTGGGGGTGGGGGGAGTTAGGAGGATGGATGTGCATTGTGGGGGATGGATGTGCGGGAGGGCGGAGGGTGAATGGGTGTGTCAAGGGGGGTAGTTAGGAGGATGGATGTGTCCGGGTGGGGGGTAGTTGGGAGGATGGATGTGCTGGGGGAGGGGGTAGTTAGGAGGATGGATGTGTCGGGTGAGAGGTAATTAGGAGGATGGATTGGAGGGGGGATGTGTTGGGGTGGGGGTAATTAGGAGGATAGATTTGCAGGAATGGGGAGGATGGATGTGTCAGGTGGTGGGTAGTTAGGAGGATGCATGTGCGGGTGGAGGATGGATGGCAAGTAGGAGGATGGATGTGCCGGGGGAGGATGGATGTGTCAGGTGGGGGTAGTTAGGAGGATGGATGTGTGGGAGGGCGGAGGGTGAATGGATGTGTCGAGGGAGGTAGTTCGGAGGATGGATGTGTCGGGGGGAGGGTGGATGTGCTGGGGGAGGGGGTAGTTAGGAGGATGGATGTGTCGGGTGAGGGGTAATTAGGAGAATGGATTGCAGGGGGATGGAGGATGTGCTGGGGGTGGGAGTGGTTAGGAAGATGGATGTGCAGGGAGGGAGGATGGATGTGCAGGAGGGGAGGGTAGTTAGGAGGATGGATGTGCTGGGGGAGAATGGATGTCAGGTGGAGGGTAGTTAGGAGGATGGATGTGCGGGGGGAGGATGGATGGCAGGTAGGAGGATGCATGTGGGGTGGTGTCTAGGGGTAGGTAGGTACATGGGTAGGAGGATGGATCTGCAGGTGGGGAGGATGTGTGGGGAATGGCGAGCAAGTAGGTGGGAAGATGGATGTTTCGGGAGAAGGATGGATGTGTCAAGTGGGGGCATAGTTCGGAGGATGGATGTGTCGGATGAGGGGTAGTTAGGAGGGTGGATGTCGTTGAATTTTCTTGGTGGTTGGTTTAAAATATTCTCCTGTGAAAACTGAAACTCAGTCTCTGTAGGGTTGTGTTTAAGACCCTTCTGGAAAGTAATGAGCCTTTAAACAGAAGTGAAACTCATGCAGTGTTGCCACCTCTGATGATTTTGTCATGAGTCTCATGATAATTATTGTTTTCCTTAAAGCCCTAGCTCCTGGAGTCGCAACATCTGTGATGATTTCAGCCTTCGTTCTTAAAGAAAAATGAAGTTTCCAGCCCTTGTGGCTGTGGAGAAAGCTTCAAAATGTGACCCCAGTGCACCCTAAAGGCTCAAAAAGCAGAAGGCAAATAGAAAGAACACCAATTCTGTTATTTTTACATAATCTCATGAGTTCAGAGGCAGTCTCGTGATTTTTGCTGGGCCTGAGTCATGATTTTTGAACACTGGGGATTGGCAACACTATGAGAGTGACTTGAAAGTGTCCATTTCACTCCTGTTTAAAGCCAGTTTCTAGTCTGTTATTTGTAGTGGGGTAACACCCCCCAGGCAGGTGCAGGATAAGTAAACACATGGGGCCTTGCCCTAGTTGGATGTTTCAAAAAGTTAAAGGCTCTGTTCCAAGCTGGATGAATTGCAAACAAGTGCCAGAAAGTCATCTAGATTCTTCTACAATTGTTCCAACAGTCGTGTTCAGCGTTAGAGACAAAGTGAGACGATACATTAACACTGTTAAACCTGACCAGTGTCCCTTCCGTGGACTGACACAAGATGTCCCAACGCGTTAGGTTTAACGCTGCGTGGGTCTAATATTTATTTCATTTTCTTTTTTTATATAGGAATTAGAAATTATCTGACAGGAGCACCCCAGTTGTTGTTCACAAAAAACAAAGATCCCTGTCCCCAAACAAACAAAAATAACCCCAAGAGTTATCAGGTGCCCAAGGAGTCTCTGAAATCATGGTTAAAGTTGCATCTCCCCCAATCTGAAATGGTGCCACTAGGAGGGTAGGAGGATGTGTGTGTGGTGAGGGGTAGGTAAGTGGGGGGATTACTGGGGAGGTGTCTGGCCGGGGGGAGGATGATTGTGGGGGGGGGCTGGCTGGATGTGCGGGGAGATGCTGGCAGGAGGATGGGCGGGGGGGTGGATAGATGTGCGGGGGGCTGGCAGGTAGGAGGATGTGTGTGTGGGGAGTGGATGATTAGCGGGGAGCGATGGATGTGCGGGGGGGGTCTGGCAGGGAGGAGGATGTGGGGGGGCTGGCAGGTAGGAGGATGGGGGGTCTGGCAGGGAGGAGGATGTGGGGGGGGCTGGCAGGTGGGAGGACGGGGGGGTTGGATGGGGAGATCTGGCAGGTGGGAGGACGGGGGGCTGGCAGGTGGGAGGATGGGGAGGTTGGATGGGGAGATCTGGCAGATGGGAGGATGGGGGGGCTGGCAGGTAGGAGGATGGGGGGGCTGGCAGGGAGGAGGATGTGGGGGGGGCTGGCAGGTGGGAGGACGGGGGGGTTGGATGGGGAGATCTGGCAGGTGGGAGGACGGGGGGGCTGGCAGGTGGGAGGATGGGGAGGTTGGATGGGGAGATCTGGCAGATGGGAGGATGGGGGGGGCTGGCAGGTGGGAGGACGGGGGGGGTTGGATGGGGAGATCTGGCAGGTGGGAGGACGGGGGGCTGGCAGGTGGGAGGATGGGGAGGTTGGATGGGGAGATCTGGCAGATGGGAGGATGGGGGGGGCTGGCAGGTGGGAGGATGGGGGGTTGGATGGGGAGATCTGGCAGGTGGGAGGATGGGGGGGCTGGCAGGGAGGAGGATGTGGGAGGGGCTGGCAGGTGGGAGGACGGGGGGGTTGGATGGGGAGATCTGGCAGGTGGGAGGATGGGGGGGCTGGCAGGGAGGAGGATGGGGGGGGCTGGCAGGTGGGAGGATGGGGGGGTTGGACGGGGAGATCTGGCAGGTGGGAGGACGGGGGGGCTGGCAGGTGGGAGGATGGGGAGGTTGGATGGGGAGATCTGGCAGATGGGAGGATGGGGGGGCTGGCAGGTGGGAGGATGGGGGGGTTGGATGGGGAGATCTGGCAGGTGGGAGGATGGGGGGTCTGGCAGGGAGGAGGATGTGGGAGGGGCTGGCAGGTGGGAGGATGGGGGGGCTGGATGGGGAGATCTGGCAGGTGGGAGGACGGGGGGGGAGGCGCGGATGGATGATTAGGGGGGGGGGGGGGGAGCTGGCAGGTGATTTACCTGCCGAAGACACGGCCCCGCCCTGGCGCCGGGAGCCGGCCCGGGAGGTGTCCAACCTGCCGCGGCCCCGCCCGGGTCCCGCCGCGCTCGTCACTGCCGGGCAGCCCCACGGGGGCGGGGGGCGGATAAAGGGCCCGGCCCCGCGGCCGCCGCTCACTCGGGCAGGGGAGCGCAGGGAGCCGGGCTCATGGGGAGACTGACGCCGCCCGCCTGCCTCTGCTGCGGGACAAAGAAGGTGGGGGCCGGGCAGGCGCGGCGGGGGGGCTCGGGGCCCCGGTCAGGTGCGGGGGGGCGCGGGGGGCCCTGGGCAGGTGCAGAGGGGCGGGGGGGCGCTCGGGGCCCCTGGGCAGGTGCAGAGGGGCGGGGGGCGCTCGGGGCCCCTGGTCAGGTGCAGCGGGGCGGGGGGATGGCTCGGGGCCCCTGGGCAGGTGCAGGGGGGCGCTCGGGACCCCTGGTCAGGCGCAGCGGGGCGGGGGGGGGCTCGGGGCCCCTGGGCAGGTGCAGGGGGGCGCTCGGGACCCCTGGTCAGGCGCAGCGGGGCGGGGGGGGGCTCGGGGCCCCTGGGCAGGTGCAGGGGGGCGCTCGGGACCCCTGGTCAGGCGCAGCGGGGCCCCTGGGCAGGTGCAGGGGGGCGCTCGGGACCCCTGGTCAGGCGCAGCGGGGGGGGGGGGGCTCGGGGCCCCTGGGCAGGTGCAGGGGGGCGCTCGGGACCCCTGGTCAGGCGCAGCGGGGCGGGGGGGGGCTCGGGGCCCCTGGGCAGGTGCAGGGGGGCGCTCGGGGCCCCTGGTCAGGCGCAGCCGGGGGCCGGGACCTCTAGGCAGGAGCCCCGAGCCAGCCAGCGGCCCCGGAGAGCCGGGTGTCCCCCCGAAGCCCCGGCTGCTGCCCGGGGCCGGGGCTCCATCTCTCCCCCCTGGGCGCCACGTTCCGGGTCAGATTCTCCAGCGCCCGGCGGGGGCCCTGGGCGCGGGTGATCAGACCCCCCCCCCGGGCCACGGCGGCCCCCTCTCCCCCCGCAGGACTTCACGCTGTCGAAGGGGAAAGATGCCCCCGCGGGGCAGAGCGACGAGAACTCGGAGCGCGGTAACTGGTCGAGCAAAACGGACTATCTGCTCTCCATGGTGGGCTACGCCGTGGGGCTGGGGAACGTGTGGCGGTTCCCCTACCTGACTTACCAGAACGGAGGGGGTAAGTTTTGCCCCGTCTGGGCTACACACCTCAGCGAAGGCAGCAGCGTCCTCTCTGCTTCCCTGCCGGGCACGGACGCGGCATTCATGGAATTACCTTTTTATTCTCCTGCAGCACCTCGGCTGTCCCCAGCTCGGGTCAGATGCTGTGTGTTAGCCAGCAGTCTCAACCCCGAGTCTCCGAGCCAAACATCCCCGAGCTTTTGGAGAGGTTGGGATTCCCGGTGGAATGAATGTTCCAGCTGGCACCAGCCTTTATAATCGGCTAAACCCAAACCCGAACCCCGGGACAGGTGGGGTGGGCCCATCTGGAGTTAGCAGTGGATCAGGGTATTAGGAATGGACGGGAAATGTGAAGTATCTGTTCCAAACTCCTTCCCTATCAGGAAAGTAACTGAAATACTTCTAAAAAGAACAGGAGGACTTGTGGCACCTCAGAGACTAACCAATTTATTTGAACATAAGCTTTCCTGAGCTACAGCTCACTTCATCAGATGCATCCTGTAGCTCACCAAAGCTTATGTTCAGATAAATTGGTGCCACAAGTCCTCCTGTTCTTTTTGCCAATACAGATTAACATGGCTGCTACTCTGAAACTTTTCAAAATACTTCTCTGGTGGATTATATCTACTAAGGGACAACCCATCCTAAATGCTCAATGACTGAGGGACCATCTACACTCATTTCTATATTTGCTGTCTACAACCAACTCTCTGTATAACTTTTCATGAGTGATGTACCTGAGTATTTAAATTCTAATATCTAAATTTAACGATACAGTTTATCTAAATTTGGGTTATTGCAGATCATGCAGTATGTGTATCTTACAAGTTTTTAAACAAACTTTGTATTTGTGGATAAACTAAGCACTGTACCGGAGTGGGCAAACTTTTTCGCCCAAGGGCCACATCTGGGTATGGGAATTGTATGGCAGGCCATGAATGCTCATGAAATTGGGGGTTGGAGTGCAGGGGGGGGGTGAGGGCTCTGGGGTGGGGCCAGAAATGAGGAGTTCAGGGTGCAGGAAGGGGCTCCAGGTTGGGGCAGGGGGTTGGGGTTCAGGGGTGGGTGAGGGCTCTAGCTGGGGGTGTGGGCTCTAGGGTGGGGCTGGGAATGAGGGGTGCAGGAGGCTGCTCTAGGCTGGGGCCAAGGGGTTCAGAGGGCAGAAAGGAGAATCAGGGCTGGGGCAGGGGGTTGGGGCACGGGAGGGGGTCAGGGGTGCAGGCTCCAGGTGGCACTTACCTCAAGCAGTGGCATATCTCCGCTACAGCTCCTAAGCAGAGGTGCAGCCAGGCAGATCTGCGCGCTGCCCTGTCCGGAGGCGCTGCCTCTGCAGCTCCTACTGGCTGCAGTTCTCGGCCAATGGGAGCTGTGGGGCCAGCACTTGGGGCTGGGGCAGCATGCGGAGCCCCGTGGCTGCCTCTACACGTAGGAGCCGGAGGGAGAACATCCCGCTGCTTCTGGGAGCCACACAGAGTGGGGCAAGCCCCGGACCCCACTCCCAGTGGGAGCTTGAGAGCCAGATTAAAACTCCTGGAGGACTGTAGTTTGCCCACCCCTGCACTATGACCAGATAGACAGACACTTTTCTCAACCTGTGTATTATATAATTTTAACATTAGCTTTAATAAAATTTTAAACCTAGTTAGCACTTAATTAACAACGTCCATCTGAGGCTCTCCAAGCCAGGAGAATAAGATGGGAATCAGACAGATGGGAAAACGAGGTACAGAGAGGCTGTAACTGATTCAGACTTATTCAATGAGCCGGTGGCCGAACCCAAACCAGAATCCAGGTCTCCCATTCCAGTGCTCTGGGGACCTAATCTACTGCCAGGGATGGGTAACCAACCAGACAGCAATATTCTCAGCATTTGGTAATTCCTGAGGCCTCAATCCCGCAAAGTACTTAAGCACGTGTGTAAGGGGGCTTGTAACCTGAGCCCTGCCAGCTGGGCCTGAAACTCTTGGTCTTTGGCCCTGAGCGGTCTGGCCACGTGTGTAAAGATTCAAGTTAGTTTGAATGCTCATGTGCTTCTACACAGCGGGGAGCTGGAGCCGGTTGTTAAATCTAGAAGCCCTTTTAGAGCCGGTTGTTCCGCGAGGGAGAACTGGTTCTAACAGGGCTTCTAAATTGAACTGGCCCAAAGTGGTGGCTTAGGCGCCGACTCCACGGGTGCTCCAGCCCTGGAGCACCCAAGGGGAAAATCTGGTGGCTGCAGAGCCCCCACCGGCAGCTCCCCGACCCCAGCTCGCCTCCGCTCCGCCTCCTCCCCTGAACGCGCCGCCCGGCTCTGCTTCTCCACCCCCCCAGGCTTCCTGCGAATCAGCCATTCGTGCGGGAAGCCGGGGCTGGCTGAGAAGCAGGCGGCGGCTTCGCGCCCAGGCCCAGGGAGGCAGAGCGGAGGTGAGCTGGGGTAGGGGGGCACCAGGAGGGCTGCCCGCACCGCAGCAGGTAACCCGGGCGGGGGGGGCACACGCAGGGGAACCGTTCCCCGCCCCAGCTCACCTCCGCCACCCTCGGCCTGAGCGGGAAGCCGTGGCCTGCTTCTCAGCCCGCCCCGGCTTCCCGCCGAACAGCTGATTCGCGGGAAGCCGGGGGGGGGGGCGGAGAAGCAGAGCGGGGCGGTGGGTTCAGGGGAGGAGGTGGAGCGGAGGTGAGCTGGGGCCAGGCGCGGGGGCGGGGAGCTGTCGGTGGGGGCTCTGCACCCACCAATTTTCCCCGTGGGTGCTCCAGGCTCGGAGCACCCAGGGAGTCGGCGCCTAAGGCACCCACTTTTGATGTGATCAGTGGGGGGAGCGGCCGCTCCCCCCCCCAGCTACACTCCCCCGCCCCTAGGAGCCAGAGGGACCTTTCGGATGCTTCCTGGGAGCTGCCCCAGGTAAGCATCGCCGGGACTCCCCACCTTGCCTCCCGGCAGGTGCCTCTGGCTCTTAGGGGTGGGGTGGGCACCCACTACGGTGGCCCACGAGACCCTCCTGCCCAGTTCTGGGGGCAGTCAGGGGACAGAGGAGGGGGGTGGATGGATCAGGGGTCCTGGGGGGGGCATCAAGGAATGCGGGGGGGTTGGATGGGGCAGAAGGCCCTGGGGGACGGGGGTGGGCAACGACCGCCTCGTGGGGTGAAGAGGGAACCCAGTGTTAAGATTTTGGCAGCTCATCACTGCTTCTACATCTACCTAAGTGCTTTGGGGCCTTGAGACACCCCTGCTTCACTATTGTCAGTGCAATGGGACTAGTCATTTGGGAAAGGGTTACTCATGTGAGTAAGAGTTGCAGGACAGGCTTTAAAGCTGAAATCATTAGACTGAAGTACACAGAGAAAAATAATTGTGATATGACCTGAAATAAATGACACAACTTTTTGTGATTGTAGAAACAACTACTTAGAGCAACGATTCTCAAACTATGGGTCTCTCAAACTGTGGGTCAGGACCCCAAAATAGGTCGGGACCCTGTTTTAATGGGATCGCCAGGGCTGGCTTAGTCTTGCTGGAGCCCAGGGCTGAAGCCTGAACCCCAATGCTCAGGGCCAAAGCCCAAGAGTTTCAGGCCCAGGTGGCAGGGCTCAGGTTACAGGCCCCTTGCCTGAGGCTGAAGCCCCTGGGCTTTGGCTTTGACTCTCCCCTCCCCACGCCCCCACCCAGGGCAGTGAGTGGGGGGATTCGTTCCCCCCTCCTGGGGTCGTGTAATAATTTTTGTTCTCAGAAGGGGGTCACGGTGCAGTGAAGTTTGAGAACCCCTGACTTAGAGCCTGTTCTGTTTGTTGTTAATGGCTATTTCTGGTGTAAATGTTGAAGGTTACACTTATCTAGACTTCACAATGCTGCACTCCAATTAGAAACTGTCCCACACTAAATGATGCTCAATGCCTATTTATTTAAAAGGGCCTATTTTAAAGTGACATCCCCTTTTTTACTTGGATTAAAAATAGTTTACCCCCAAACAAAGACTAAAAATAAAGGTCTCTAATCTGTTCACTAGAAGGTTACATTCTATGGGTGCCTTGGCAGCTCCTTCACAGAACCGTGTGGCTGGCTTTACCTGACAAATCTCTGGTGAATCTCTTGGCTGAATGCAGAGGCAGGATAGACAAACTTTGGCCTGTCCTGTGATTTATGGAGGTCAGAGATTCTATTTCAGGTGGGAAAAGCCCTAAAGGCCTTAGGGCCAAGTCCAACTCCCATTTAAGGTCAATGGGTGTTGTTGTGTAAGTGCAACACGGCCCAAGTATGAAATTTTACATACAAACATTGGAGAGAGAGATGTATGGAATACACAGTGGCATTCTTGGCATACATCTTTTATTGGCATGTGTTTGACCTGGTTGCATTCCTCATGAGTGATGAAGGAGAATTCTAATCCAAAATGAATGCTAATAAAATCAGTTTATCACACTGCACCATGGAACAATATATATGGAACAAAACAGTTTTATGAGGAATATTTTAGAATTTAAAAATATTTCATTGGGACTATTTTTTGTACCCTTCTGCCTGTAAGGCAAGGTGCCTTCAACAAGGCATGTATGCATTTACTTAACTTTAAACATGTTTAGTTTGCTTGAATTCAGTGGGGTTACATGCTTAAGGTTAAGCACGTGCTTAAATATCTTGCCAAACTGGGTCCCTAGTTTATCTTAAACCCCTCTGTGGGTGAAGAGAAAAAATAGATAAACAGCTGCACATGCATGAATATCAGATCACTTCCTGGGTGCTGATTCTCTCTCACACTTATGCAGTACAGCAAATATGAAATGCTGGTCCTTCTCATAGTACAATAGATCTCAGTAATGAGGGGTGCTGGAACAATTTGTACAGTGCGGGTGCTGAGAGCCATTGAACCAAACTTTAAACCCTGTATATGATGGAAAGCACTTCAAGCCAGGGGATGCGGCAGTACCCCCAACATCCCTATTTCCAGCACCTATGTCCCTGACCCCAGTTTAATGTGGAATTTAGGAAAGCATTCATGCAAGTGACCAGCTGAGGCTCTGTATCAGAAAGGAGTCAGCCAACCATATGAAACAAATGACTAACATTTCCATGTTCTAGCCATTCTAACAGAGAGTTGCAAATCACCACTAAGTACAAAGAAGAAACAGTTCATTTCTGTTGTAAATTAAAAAACATAAGCTACCGTACAATGCAAACAAAATCAAGAGTATATGCAGCCAAATATTGTCTCTGGCTTCCTGGCAGCAGTATGTGTTGGACAAGGTTTTTTTCATCCTTCTTTTCACAAAAGGAAAGTTGTGCCATAAAAATTTGTCCGTTCTAAGTTCCAGAGCCTAGCAAGCTGGCTCAGCGCTTTGCGCCTGTGGTGGCATAGAACGATACATTCCGCGGCATTGGTGAAGAGGAGAAGCAGCTGGTGGTATTGTGCAGGGTCTAAAATGAGTGGTAAAGATTTGTTCTGAATTCCTGTTGTTTATATATTATGGGCCAGACTCCGCTATTTCTACTCACATGGGTAGTGTCTGATTCATGCCGAGCAGCCCCAGCCAAGTAAGTACAGGCAGCAGACTCTAATCACCAGGATTTATATAGCACTATACATTTGCTTGGCACCTATAGAAATAAAAAAGAGATGAGGTCAGTTTTTTGATAATTCAGCCTTTCTATGCGTATGTGCAAACCCACGGTGCAAACACCTGTGGATGCAGTTTTGTGCCTGCATTGATTTGCAGGTACAACTGACGTAATGTGGAAGTCTAAGTACCTGATTTGTGAGTGCAATGTGGTGCACGTTTTATTTTGCTTAAATGATTAAGATTAAAATAAATTTTTATTAATATTTGGTTTTGTAAAATGTTTATTTTTAAATTATAAAATCTAAATTTTGGGCTGAACTATGTTCCAGTGTTCCTGTAAGCAATTACTGAAAGTAAAAAGCAGGTGGGGAAAACTAGATAATTTTAAAACTTTCATATATATGTTATGCAAGTACATCTATTCCCTTTTATTCAAAATATTAAGGGCCCACCATTTCAGCCCGGAGGTAGGGCTTTCGTACTGTGCCTTGAATCTTAGACTTTTAAATAAGTTATTCAGAGATAGAGCCACTTCAGCATCTTTCTGACCTGCTGATGTTTTCCTGTGAAACATATTTTCAGTTGTGGCCATAGGCACAATTCGTAGTCATGCGTGAAGGTATATCTGGGATCTATGTGACACAAGCAAACATCTCTGGATAGGCAATAGTGCATCCTGTTGTTGGTAAGAATCTATCATTGTGAAAGAAGGAAGGAAAGAAAGAAAGAGAACGAAATACATGAGAACTTTATTTTACAAAACAGACGTGCTTATGTTACTAAAGTTACCTTTAATGGAACCTGGATCAGACCTCCAATGAGTAATTATCCCTTTCCTCTGCAAATACTATTTGATTTTATGGAACACAGTCCTTTAAAAAAAGCAATCTGTATATTCTGTACAAAATAAAAACCACTTTGGTATATTTGCATATATGGCTACACAAGGAGAAGAATTGTGCAGGTATAATAGGTTTTTCTATTTTCCCCAGGTGCCTTTCTAATACCCTACACAGTTATGCTGGCGTTAGCTGGTTTACCTTTATTTTTTTTGGAATGTTCCTTGGGGCAGTTTGCCAGTTTGGGGCCGGTTTCTGTGTGGAGAATATTACCAATTTTACAAGGTCAGTGACATTAGTTTCTTATGTATAGATCTTCTTTTGTTGCTGCTAATAGTCAAAAGTGGATTAATAATTTCACCATAATGCTTCTGGCTAGTGTCATAAATTAGACTCTAGAGTACACGGTGTGTCATGCCATTTCATGGATGGCCAAACTAAGAGGGCTTGTATGTACTGTAGGGGAGGAAATTGAATTCATGGCACTATATGTGATACATCAGAAGCAGCAATTCTCCAGAGCGCCAATGTAAGTTTATTGTTTTCATTTACTGGCTATGTCTTCTCACTCTATATGCTATATAGGGGTCTGCATGGGACATGCAAATCCTGCATTTAGCTGCTCATATTGGCTCCTGCACGTGTAAAGAACCATTTTATGCACCTATGCACCTGGGCCTCTATTCCAGCAGTGTGGTCTGTGGGGCACTGAGCCTGCTGCAATCAGAGACATCCCGCACCTATGGGAATCAGGATCACGGGGCAAATTCTGCCCTATTTGCATCCATTCTTCTCCAACAAGGATGGATATGAACGAGGGCATCATTGGGCCTGCATGCCTTCCTCACCACCCAGCTGCATTAAGATAGGAAAGGAAATTACATTTTTAATCGTATTAAGAGCTTTATTTGCCTTTACTGATCCTGTATATTAGTAGACAACAAAAAGGAATTATATCCAGGCATTTACTGTTCCTTACCAATTTCTGCCTGAAAACTCACCAGAAACAACAAGGCACTGCACACAAGCTTCCAAAATCTGCACTAAATGAAAAGAAGGATGGATCCAACCCAAAGGCAGTTGGGTCTATGGAGATAGCCAGGGCTGTGTGTGTGTAAACGTGTATGTCATATATACTCCCCAAGATCATTGGAAAAGGTTTGGTAGGTTGACCTCAAACTCACAAAGTTCCTTTTGACAAAGAGAGAGCTGCAATTCCTTGCAAACCACTAGTTTATGCTGTCTTTCATTCACTGATGCAACTAGCAATCGCAATGAGATCTCTACAAATGATGCCATCAGCCCCAGTTTTGTATAAGTTTCCTTTCATTTTTTTTGAGACACCCAGACCAAAATCCATTGAACTTCAGGGATACAGAAAATCTAAAACCTCACCCAGAATTCACAAACAGCTCTGATTTTCCTACATGGCTGGCCCAAACCCTGGATTCAAACCCTCATTTGGGATATTCAAAATCTGGATCCAGTCCCTAATTTTGTGGCTTCAGCCCATCTCTAAGCTTGTTACTGTCCAGGATAAAAGGAATGAAGGTAATTCTTCCCACTGATGTTGTGCTTTTTCATTTAACTAGCACAGATATTTTCCACCCCTATATTTAACACGTTTCTTTTAGCGATGCAGCCTCCCTTTTCCCTCCTTTCTGTCTTCTTCACCAGTCCTTTCTTCAGCTGCAAAGAGCTGGACATGGTTCCCTTTAGCACATGATTCATTGCTCCTTGTATTGGCTACAGAGAATCATGTAGTACATTCCCCTTTCTCCCCGCTCACAGTCTATTGCCACTGTTTCCTTCTTTCCTGGTAGTCTCGGATCTGATCTCCTCCCCTCCCTAGCTGGGCTGCCCTGGTTCTTTAACACTAATGTGTACTCTTGGACTAGCATGGTGCATTTTCCCCCTAACTCAGTGTGGAATGCAGAAGACTCTCCCTTACTTTATCAAGTTTATATTTATCTTTAAAATGATGTAAATAACCTAATAGATTAGCCTTAATGATCTTAGTCTTACTGCTAAGAAAGATCAGTAAGGTTAAGTTGTTAGTTTATTTACACACAGAAGTGGAACGTCTTTGCAGACTTTAGCCATACTGTGCCTATAGAAATCAGCCATGTCCGAATTTTCTCTTCAGCACTGGACTCCCTTTGGTATCTGAACCAGTGAAATCTGGTCTCCTCTCTTTGGCCTAGACTGCCTTGGCGCGGATGTTGTATTCTGTTCTGTTCTTACTCTGCCCTCTTCACCATAGCATCTTCGTCCTCCGTTTGGCCACTCCACACATTAACATTACAGGCTCGTAGACTTTAAGGCCAGAAGGGATCCTTGTGATTTTCTGGTCTGACCTTCTGCACCTCGCAGGCCACAGAACCTCACCCACCCACTCCTGTACTAGACCCCTGACTGCGGGCTGAGTTACTTTCTTCCTGCTGCTGCGCTGCGCTGACCCTTCCCCCCCCCTACATTTTCAAGGAGGTATGTAGCATCGGGATTGGGTGACTACGTTCCCTCCAGCTATTAAAACGTAGTGTGTCTCCCCTGCCAGCTCTGCAGCAAGGCTGAGGCTTTTTTTGTTTATTGCAACCTGTAAATCCCAAGGCGCACCCTCCTTCCTGGTAGACAGGCAGCTTTTTTCAACATTGAAATGGAACATGTATATATTTGTGTCCTCTAATTCTGTCTCTTCTCTAGCCTGATTCCAATAGATCAGGATGCAACAGGGACAATACAAATAGGTATCTGGGTTTTTAAACATTACAAAGTTCTACCACTTTGAGTTTGAAGGTCAAGTACCACACTCCGTCATGGGATCTCCTCAAGAGAGCTCTGCCTACACCACATGGTATAAGATCCATCGTGAACTTTGCTCTGCAGTAAACTCGTTCTACCTTGTGTTTGCATGTCACTTTTGTCTGGTCACTTTCTGATGTCACACCAGCCTTCACTGCTTCCTCTCTGTGCATGTGTGGAACTCCTCTCAAAACCTGGCAGTGAATGAAGAGTGCTTTGAAATGAACCATGTTCATTGTACATGTGCAGGGAATTGAGATATGCCCAGGGTTTATTCACAGGGAATTGTCTTTGCCTGGTGTATATACCCAGCAATACTATGCAATCCAGTGGATAGTAAAATAATTTCTAGGCAATGTGGAGCAAGAGTAGAGAAATGTGGAGTTCACTGAAGTTGATGATTCACATTTTCTTTATCCTCTGTTTGGGTTGGATGATGAAACTTTCACTCTCTCTTTTCTAGGAGTGGGAATCACGATGGTGGTCATCACCGCCTTGGTGACGGTCTATTACAATGTTATCATTGCATATGCCCTCTACTATTTGTTTGCCTCCTTCCAAAGTGTGCTGCCGTGGTCAGACTGCTTTGCGTGGGCAGATGAAAATTGCAGCAAAACACCTGTAGGTACGGTACTTTTAAATAATCCACACTATTACTAGGAATAATTCCATTGCTTCTGTTTCCCAGTAATAAACAAAATACATTAAAAAGGCAGTAGTGGGATAGTTAGTTGGCCATGATGCTGCTGTCTACTTTACCTTGACAACCTGTTGACACCTGGACTGATCTTCTTTCTGTCTGCCTGTCGCATTTGCCCATATGATCTGTTGGGAACTAGAATGAATCTTCCTCTCTGCCTTTCTGCCCATCTTTCCTTCTTCCTTAGAATAACAGATTTCTAGACTAGTATAAAATCACCAAAAATATCACACTGCAATTTCATTAGTGCTTCATGACAAAGAAATGGCCTTCCTAATGCAAAAGAAATGCCTACCTAGTGCATTCACGTGAGGTTCTTCCAAAATCCTTTATCCTATATGTGTGGCTTTGTTAACACCATGTGTTGGATGGGCATTGGCTTCATGTTTCATCATGTCTTTAGATAATATTTCTAGGCTATTGATTGGCTGTGTGCATGCATGATTTAAAAACTGTAATTATATTTTAACACTGTGATTTCCCACCCAACAGTTAAGTTTAATAGTTTATCATAGACTGCAGTTCTGATGTGTTATTTAACAATTTTACATTTATAAATTTCAAGGAGATACTCATTTAAAAGACCAATACAAATGTTTCACCCCATATTAAAAGTGTGCTGGATTGGTATAAAAGTCAGACAAATTGCCCCACAGTACTGCACTAAAATTTCACCAGGGTTTCATGTCAAATAAATCCTCATGCTGATAGTGATCTTTAATGCTTTGATCAACTCTTGTTTGGCTTAAATTGTAGCCAAGAGATTTGCAGTACATTTTAAAGAGAATTAGGAACAATGCCAGTCTGTTCCCATCAGTATGATATGGGATTGCTATAGATGAGTGTGAACTGAAATACTGGATCTGGCCCTTAGATTATCAAAGAGTTTGAAATCCTAACTGTACCTAGATCTGATTTTTGCAAACATTTCCTATCTTTACATTAGGCCAGCCAGGTTCCCAGAGCTGAACACATCAGACCTGGGAGTGTTTGGATATGGAGCCAAATCCACATCTGAAAGTGGTGGCGGGGGCCTGTTGGTAGTTACCACAAGAATACAAACTGTAGCGATAACAGCACGAAAAAGGCCCTAGCTGTAATCAAAGTCTGTTTCTAATTTCACCACTGAACATTAACAACCCTGTCTCTTTTAGTGCATGATTGCAATACGACCTTAGCAGACGGGACAGTCATTCACACAAACTACTCGTTTGTCTCCAGCAACAATCTAACCTGTCTCAATGGCACCTCAACGTATAAAGAAGTGCAGCCTCCCAGTGAGCAGTACTGGAAGTAAGTATACCACCTTCATATTGCTAAAATCGGTATGCACTGGATGGGGTTTGGAGGAGCCCTCTGGGGAACTCATACCACTTTCCAGAAACTGCTTTGGGCCAAGCTCATGGGACTGCAAACTGAAGTGAGCAGTTCTGTCCAGGAAAACATTAAATACTGAATCAGGGTGACAAATGTAACCCAAGTCACAGAGAAGCATAAGAACAAATTTATAACTAAGAAATAAATAATAAAATTAAGGAAGTTTTTTCCCCTTAAACTCCCAAACATAAGGCATGTTCTTTACGATGTTGAAAATATTCATCCTTTCATATACCTGTCATTACAGAACACTTTCCAAGGCAGGTTAGTGTTCATAATGTGCAGGTGTTTCACCTGCATACCACACACTTAGGTGTATGATTCGCTGCTGTCTGATGATTAATAGAGTAATAAGCCTTGCCGGAGTATGCATTAGCATGCCTTCAGTTCATGCCTTGTGTGTGGGTGGGGGCAGAAGCTGTACGGCTCCAGACACCCTGGAAGAGTATCACTCGTGAATTAGTGCTCACCTTAGCTTGGTTTGTTGCTGTTACAATACAGATCTTTCAGAACCACTCTTGCCTTCGCTATTTCAGGTTTTTCTATGGTGTCTGTCAACCAGGCACCTGGAGCTGTACTAAAAGTCTATAACACAAAAGTGTTTTTCTCCTAGCATTACCCCACTGGCCACTTGCACCTTCACTTTCTTCACACTTATTTATACCAGCTAAGGACAATAACGCCGATGAAGAAAATCTGGCCCTAAATTGGAATCTACCTACTTCCACTTTTATAATGGTATTTGAGCGTGGAAAGACTAGTCAGTTCATTGGAGAGGTGTTTTCCTCCAACTCCTGTCAGCCAGTGCTGGGCTCGTCCTTTTAGTTCATAGCCCGAGCTGGCTCTGTGCAGTAAAGTTATCGTTTTAAAAACAGCACAGTCGTGTCTATCCACCTACTGAGCGTCAATCCGAGGCAGGGTTGAAAGGAAAGCACTGGTTTCTCTTTGAAGCCTGCAAAGAAACCAGCTTTCCCATCACTCCGAGCCTGGCCTGCTACCCAGGAAGTCAATGGAATTTAAGTACTTGCTTGAAATCAGCAGATGTTTAAAAGGATACATTTAAGAGCCCTGCTAGGAGGCGGGGGCGGAGTGGGGCTGACAGGCTGTGCACCAATGGAAGTTGACGCATGGGTGTGACATCACCAGCTAGTCAGACATGAGCATCCCCTCTCCAGAGTGGCTCTGGATAATCAGTGGGACTCTTCATGCTAGCAGCTGCCACGCCCTGTTGCAAGTGACGTGATGCTGATCACGATGTTCTGTGCTTTCAGTAAAGTGGTCCTTCGCCGCTCCGGCGGGCTGGATGAGACGGGTGAAATTGTCTGGTACTTGGCCCTCTGCCTGCTCCTGTCCTGGGTGATAGTCGGAGCTGCATTATTTAAAGGGATAAAATCTTCAGGAAAGGTAAGTCAGGAGGAACTCATGCTAGATTTCTGGGACTGATCCTGCCGGGAGATGATCCCAACTTCAATGGCAGCTCAGCACCTGGTGGGGTTAGGCCCTGATTCTCTGGCCCAGAACACAGGCGATTTCTGACTTTGCTGCTGCTGTTTGCTCATATTTTACATGACACATATAAAGCACATGGGGCCCGATTCTGCCACCCTGACCTAAGCTCAGTGGTCCCTTATTCCACCAGGAATGGTGCTATTGGGGCTTTTTATGATCGTGTGAGAGACATCGGTTGAGTTCCTGTTATAGCCTGGTCTTTTGTGAAGCATGCGCACGTGCACACACTGAGCACACACACACTGCGCACCCAGTATGCACATGCAGGATGTTTAGCCTGAACGCATGGGCCCAATCCTGTGGATAGTTATGCACACGCCGCTTGCTGCTGCACTATAAAGTCCTGTCTCTGTCAGTGGGAACCCGCTATGCTGTAGTCAGGGACTAGGCGTGAGGCCCACTGAAGTCCTGGGAAAGCCCCCAGTCTCTTGTGACTCGGGCTCTGAGTCCAGGCCCTGCAGCTCTTCTGGACAGAGACACATCACCGCACATCAGTGCTCCAGCCAGAGGGGAAAAGCCTGCTGGATTGGCCTCGTTAGTCCTCAGGCGATGTCTACACTGTAGTTAGAGGTGTGACTGCAGTACCTGCAGATGCTGGCTTTGAGCTAGCTCGCTCCTGTAACATAACAGAGAAGCCGCAGCAGCCTGGGCTGTACAAGCCCCCCCGTGGCCGTGGGTATGCTCTCAAGCGGCTAGCCCGGCCTGCCACAGCGTCTCTGCCGGTATTATTCGAGCAGGCTTCTGACCAGTGCACACAGATCTTTCCTTCATAACCCCAAGTCCTCCCATCCAGCCAGGCTCCCTGACCAGCCTGAAAATCCCCCTCTCCCCAGGCCATGATCGCCGGCGGATCCGCTGCAGCTAAAGAGGGCTCCTCTCCCGCTTTCAGGCAGGGGGCGACTGTTAACTCATTTTCCTACGTGCGGCCTGGCCCCCTTGCCCGGTTTCTTAACTCCCGATTCTGCTCTCATTCTTCTCTTTGCTCCCATATGTTTCTTCGTCTCCCTGGCTCCTCCGGTTCCTTGCCCCCATATCTGTCTCCGTCTTCCCCCCTGGATCTCTGTCTTCCTGCTCCTAGCTAACTCAATTTTCTTTCCTTTCCTCCCATGATGTCTGTCTCCTTCTCTCCTTGCTCCCCCATCACTTTTCTCTGCCTCTAACTCTTCTCTGCAACACAATTTTCTGTCCCCTTCTCCTGTCTTTTTAGGCCACAGCGGCTTCCATTCCAGACTCTAGTTCCTCCCTATTCCTAGGGGTCTTTTGGCCTATAGGCCCTTCTCTCCCAGCGGGAGAGCAGGAGTGTCCCTTGGGCCATTAGAAGGAGGCTCTTGATGCCAGTGCAGCCAGTGTGTTGGGGTGCAATCCTACAGCATGATGCAATGCTGGAGCAAGGCGGAACCAGCCAACCTGGCTCAATTACGGACGTAAACGACAGTGAAACCTGCAATGAGCACCACCTCCAGACTTGTTGGTTGTTTGTTTTGTTTGTTGGTACTATGCTAGCGCATAGGAGCCCCCCTTTACAGCCTGTCACCCCATTGTGCCATGCGCTGTACAACTGCAGGAAAACAGATAGTCCCTGCCCCAAAGAGCGTACAGCTCCCTTTGCTCAGTAACTGAATCTGCTCCCATGGTTTCGTTCAACGTTTTCAGTAAATACGCCGCTGCCAGCCAGCTGGCTTGGGCAGGTCCTGAGGTGCTCACCGGGACAGGTTGGACGAGGTTTGTTTGCCCCTGTTGTGCCCAGTTTGTGAATCCAGACTGGTAATTTGTAGAGAAGAATGAGGGAAGGGTCACGTCCAGACTTGAATCCCGACTTTCCCAGCCCCAAGCTGAATCCAGTAAATGGTTTGTTTGGCTCAGGCCCAGGTCATTTTTACGTAGCATTTCCCCCCAAGCCTAATGCCTCTCCCTCCATTTCTCTTGGCAGGTGGTTTATTTTACAGCTGTCTTTCCCTATGTGGTCCTCGTTATCCTGCTTGTCAGAGGTGCCACCTTGGAAGGGGCTCGGGACGGCATTGAGTATTACATTGGAACACAGTCCAATATCACAAAGCTGATGGAGGGAGAGGTGAGGCTCAGGGGTGGTTCTGAATGCATAAAATATTTGCTTGCGGGTAATTACACAATCTCAAAGCCTATAAAGGCTTGCATGTGACTTGGTTTCCAGAATACAATAGCTTCCTTCTTAACCAGCCAGACTCCTCTTATCCCTCCCTTCCAGGGATTATCTAAAATTGGATCATGCCTTCCAGAAACCCACAATTACAGTGAAACCCTCTATCCCCACCTAGAGCTCATTTATCCAGAAGAAGGGCAAGTCCACTGCATCATTTGAATAAAGAGGGGTCTGGGTAGGGTTGCCTGCTATCACAGCTACAGCTGAGGTTTCTGTGTTACCATCCTCTGTTTTTCTGGAGTGTGTAACTTTACTCGCTAAACATGGACATTCCCTGTGGCCTGGTGATAAAGGTCTCACAATGAGAGTGAGTATTAGGGACGCCTGCTTTGGTTGGCATGAATTTCAGGGCATTTTATCTGCAGGTTTCATGAGTGTCTGAGCTTCAATTTTAGACTGGTCACCTAAAACTATGCCTTCCACTGGAAGTTAGATCAGGACAGAATAGGGGGTGGGGAGCAAGGGAGGAGACTTGCTCCTAGCATGGATCTTCTGTGAGGTTCTCTCCAACCTCAGCTCCTATTTTAAGACCAAAGCTCAGGTGTGGTTCTTCCTAGCGTGCTATAATAAAGGCTGGCCGGGGCTGGGAACAGCACTTAGAGCCTTGGCTGTCCATTCAGATCTCACCTCTGTCACAGTGATGGCTGTTGCCATGTTATTGCGGGTTGGTGTCCGGTGCAGTTTGGTTCTCAGTGGATGGGTGTCTGCTGCACATCACCTGAAACATTGGTGTAACCAGGGACTACCTCCCCAGTCATAGAGGCAATTCTCCCAGGTCCCAGTCTGAGGAGCATGGGTGGGACAATGTGTGTGGGAGCTTCCACCGTTGCCAGCCTCTGCTGTCTGTTTTATTTCTACATTGGTATTTCTATGGCGTTCATATCTCAGCATCTCCCAGGCACCTCAGTGAATTTCATCTCTCCTCGCTCCTGTGCAGTAGGAAAGTACTATCCCCACCGGTCTTACCTATTGGGAAACTGAGATGCAGAACATTTAGGTGACTTTGCCCAAGGTCACACAGGAGGTCAATGGCCGAGGTAAGAATTGAATCAAGATCTCCTGGGTTCTGGTCTAGTGCCTTAAGCACAAGACCAGCCTTCATGCCCTTTGGATAGGAAACTTCACTCCCTGGGTTCATTGATATATGGCACTTCTCACTAAAATTCTCATAACATTTTTTTAAAAAATGCAGCATCCCTTACAGGACACTCCTAATGGGTTAGAACAAATATTTGGGGGTAAATAATATAATAACCTACGTCCAAATTATTTCTGGTTTAGGTTTGGAAAGATGCAGCTACTCAGATATTCTTCTCCCTGTCAGTGGCCTGGGGGGGCCTGGTCGCGCTCTCCTCTTACAATAAGTTCCATAACAACTGCTATTCCGATGCCATTGCTGTTTGTTTAGTAAACTGCATCACCAGCGTGTTTGCGGGATTTGCGATATTCTCCGTTTTGGGACATATGGCTTTCCTGGCAGACAGACCCGTCTCTGAAGTTGTAGACTCAGGTTTGTTTGATAGTCTCAGTATTCATCACAAAGACTTCTTGTCTGTCACACTCTTGAGTTGTTTTCTAAACCTGTTTAATCTCAGCTGCTCTGACCATAGTTTATTGGTGCCAAGCACTTTCAGCGTATAGAGGCTTGAAAGAAGGAGGACGTTTTGTCCTCGTTTTCCATCACTAGTTGACTTCATGCTGTCCACCATAAGTCAATGGAACTTCTGCTCCTAAGTCACTCAGGTGCTATTGAAAATCCCACCCTATGTATCAAGTGTATCTCAGCTGACGGGCAGGAGCAGTCACAGATTGATACGTAAGGTAATAGAAGAGGACATTTTAAAAAATGAAAATACAGGCTTGATATTGATTCTATTTGTCCTGTTGCATCAAACATGTTAGTAAATCTTCCAAATTATAGATGAAATTCACCCCATACACAAAGCCTTTGCACAGTTTAACGCTCAAAATAGGGCTTAAGTGGTTCTAAAGTAGCACACAGGCCTTTGGGAAGACCAGACCTTCTCACCAGGGGGAATTTCACCTCTCATCTATTTAAGAACCTAAACCTTCCCATTTGGCTATTTGAATTCTTTCTCGTTCAGGATCTGCCTGAAATATTAGCCTATTCAAATCTGAATGAAAGTAATGAAATGTGGTTCGTATTTCCGCAATCCTATTCAGCCACAGCTAAAAGCTTTGGCGGAGTTTGGTTCAACAATTTCAGGCTACATCCTGCTTTGGTTATAGCCAATAGCAAAACTTCCATTGACTTTAACACCTCACTTTTTGTATTCCAAATTCTGATATAATTTCCCATTATTTAAGTTTAAGAGAAATGAGTCAATTTTGCACTGAGCGGGTCACGATGATAACGTATCTTCTCCTCCCCTATTTCAGGGTTTGATTTGGCATTTGTTGCCTATCCATCGGCTCTCTCCAAGTTACCAGTTGCCCCTCTTTGGTCCTTTTTATTTTTCTTCATGCTTTTACTGTTGGGGCTTGACTCTCAGTTTGCTTCCATAGGTGAGTAAGACGTGACATTAGAGCTGAGTCAAATTTGTCAGCTGATTTTTCCACCCAAAAAACCCCGCAGATTTGGATTAACCAAAACATTTAAAGAATTTGTGTTAATTTAATTGAATTGTTTCAGTGACATCCCCCACACAAACCCTTCCAAAAATCAAATATTTCACTTTGACATTTTCCAGATGAAACATTTTAATTTTTCAATTTTCAATTACATGTTATTTAGAAATTTCCTTCAATTTTATTTTGAAGAAATTTAAAAAATGCTTGAACATTTCAGGTTGAACAAAATGTTTTGTTCAATGCAGAATGATTTTTTCCAACTTTTCAGTTTGCTGAACATGTTGAAAAATTTTCATTTCAAGTGGATTCAAGTCGACAATTTTTAATTTATTTAGCTATTTATTTATTTTCAGAACAGCCAGTGAACGAAAAAATCAGGTATTCACACCGTTCCTCTTAAAATAACAAAATGCTTCCCGGATAGAGTTAGCTGCATTTCTTCATTTTGCTGCCCATGTCCAACAAGTAAAATTCTTTCTTCCTCTGCAGAAACAGTGACAACCACCATACAAGATATGTACCCCAAGGTGATGAAAAAGATGAGGGTTCCTGTAACCTTGGGATTGTGCACGCTTCTGTTTTTTCTTGGTCTCCTCTGTGTCACTCAGGTATAACATTAACTCTTTGTTGGCAATGGGTTTAATTATGATTCAGCTGGTGGGAGGATTTGTACAAGACAATACACCATTTCCCCTTATGACAAGAAAATCCCTGCTAGCAGCATAGTCCTGTGTGTGTTTGTTCTGAGAGAGGTGACCTCCATGCCCCCAGTTCTGCAAACACCTATGGACATGCTTAATTTATGCATACAAGAAGTCCTAATGGCAGTATTTGCAGAATCCAGTCCTCTGAAATGACTATAATTTTTTAAATGGGAGTCTTTGTCAGCTGATAATTTGTGAGCTGTTCTTTTAGTGTCTGAGCTGTTGATTTAATTTTTTTCTTCAGTTCAGGAGATTAATTTGTGTAATCTTGAACATTTATCCACCATGCCTGCAGCAGCGTAGGAACTGCAAGTGGATATTGATAGTTTTATCATTCAGAATTGATTACCAAAGACGGCAGCTCTCTAGAACTGGTATATTCAGCTCACAGAAAATCAGTAGCTAAAAAGCTTCTTCAGCTAGTCAGGTTAGCCCCTAAAATATAGTGATTGTATTTTTTCAGTTCACTGAATGTACTTCCTTGGGACGATTGCTTTTTAAGATGTCAAGAGTGATTTTTAAGGGCCATATCCAAAAAGATAGTTTTACATATGTAATTACAATGAGAAAGTTGCTTCCCCAAAAGAAGTTAACCCTAATGAACCCATGGCAAGAGCTATGGAATAATATTCAGTAATTCCCCCTCCACTTATTTCCTATCATACTATTTTATAGGTGTGTTCATATTTGTGTGTAGCCCACACGAGGAACTTCTGGGTCTTTGTCCCCCTCTAGTGGCTGGTGCATAACAGAGGATAAAAGTCAACTTCAGCAGCATATTCAGCATATTGCTAGTGTTACTCCTTTGGCTCCATCCTCAAAAGCTGATGTTATGGCACTCAGGGTCTCAGGTTCAAACCCTGCTGTCCCCTCATGTGTGTTTTTACATGTGCTTTGTTATTACAATAGTGATCAGTAGTATGCCATAAAATGCACTTGTCTGTGTAAATATAAATATTGAAATGAAGTAATGTGCAATGAATGAGATCTACCCCTGGAAAATGGGGGTTTTAAACAAAAACCCAGACTGAGGTTGAATTCAGCTGGCATGAATTCCTCGTATTGCCATGCAAAAGGTTACTAGCACTGGGTGAAAAGCTAGCTCTTTATTGTTTGTTTTGCAGGCAGGAATTTACTGGGTTAACCTAGTGGATCATTTCTGTGCTGGATGGGGGATCCTTTTTGCAGCGGTCCTGGAAATAATGGGCATTAGCTGGATTTATGGTAAATCACTGACACTGGAAAATCAAGCTGTGGCAATGCAAATAATTCTGGTCATATCACAGTCATAAAAACAAAACATGCTACAGAAAAATTTGCATAATATCTCAATGGTTAAAAATATCTCCTGTTCCAAATCATTAGAGCATAAGAATGGCCATACTGGGTCAGATCAAAGGTCCATCCAGTATCCTGTCTTCTGAAGTGGCTAATGCCAGATGCTTCAAAGGGAATGAACAGAACAGGGCAATCACTGAGTGATCCATACCCTGTTGTCCACTCCCGGCTTCTGGCACTCAGAGGCTAGGGACGCTCAGAGCATGGGGTTTCATCACTGCCCATCCTGGCAAATAGCCATTTCTGGACCTATCTTCCATGAACTGATAATTATAAGGAGCAATGCATCCATGCTTTGTAAAGCTCCTTATACTTGCTTTCTGTACATCATAAAACCCATGTTCTAGACCCCAATCTTACAGTGCACTCTTTGGCCATCTTTCAACAGGAGGAAACAGATTTATCCAAGACATTGAAATGATGATTGGAAAGAAGAGCTGGTGGTTCTGGCTGTGGTGGAGAGCATGCTGGTTCTTCATTACCCCTGTTCTCTTATGCGTAAGTACCACGGTTGAACTACTTTGAGTTTTTGGCCAAGAACATATTCATTCCAGGTTGAACAGTTTCCATGTAGAGATTTGGGGCTGCATCTTTGGCCCCTTTGAGCCTGTTTTAAAGCCAGTGTAACAGGCCAGCTGAGGAGTCTCCACACGTGGAAGAAACGTGGGTGGTGGTGAGCCATTGTGGCAATCCAGACGCCATCCCTGCGAAGCGTCCCGCCCTGGGCACAGGACACGTGACTGGTGCCCTGTGCTCTGGCAGTGCCGGGCCATTGCAACTGGGGCTGAAATTTAAAACAGCCCGGGGTGGCTCCTCTGCACTGGGCCAGTGCCTAGCAACTCAAGAGTTAAGGAATGCACATTCGGCACATCCCTTATTCTTCGTTACTTTCTTCAGGTTCTTTCAGATCATTGCTACTTTGTGCTTTCGTGTGCTTCTCATCTTTAATATGTGCACTATGTAAAAAAACAACAACAACAAAAACCCACACCTGCAACTGTTGCATATCCCTTTCTAGCAACAACATTATCTCTAATCTCTCTAGGATACCCGTGAGGAAATGCCTAATATAAATATCTTACCTGTGCAGGAATGTTCTCCAGAACTTAACTCAGCATTCTTTGCCCCAATCCTGTAAACATTCGACTAGCGCATAGAGGTATAGTGAGCCATCCCTTCTACATCCTCAGAGCATGGCTGTGCATGCAAACCGAATGTGTGAGAAATGTGCCTGCCGAGCTATGCGGATTTCCGAGCAACATGGGTGTTTAGATATAAAAAAATACGGAAAGCGTATGCATGCATGTCAATGGATACTTATAGGTCAGTAGGGGGCGATGCATGATGATGCTTATTGCCTGACCACATTTGGAAACAAAACCCTGAACTGCAAGCCAGAGACTGTCTACAGAAACCACCTTAGATTGCTGTCAAAGCAGCAGAGGTTCACTTGGAGATAAACTGGTAAATTGTGTGTTCTGTAATCAGTACAAATCAGTCTGAGCTTTAGTCAAGTTTTCTCCCTCTTCTTTTTTTTAACAGGTGATTTTATGCTGGTCTTTGGTCGCATTTTCACCTCCCAAGTATGGCTCAGTCGAATACCCTGCATGGGGAACTGCTGTGGGCTGGTGTATGATTGTCTTCTGCATCATCTGGATTCCCATTGTTGCAATTGTAAAAATAGTGAAAGCTCAAGGAAACCTGTGGCAGGTGAGGGCCTAAGAGAACATCTGCAATAGGGCCACAGGGTCAGCTGCCCAGATGGAAGTTAATGGGGGCACTTACAGTGACTTCACTGGGGGCAGGATCAGACCCTGACTTCTCACATTAATCAGATAAACTTGTTGGATCAAAACAAATCCCTGGCATTGGCAGAGATGAATTTGGCCCGATTGGCTGTCATACGAAGGCAATCAGTAATTCCCTTGGAATTTCATAGTCATTTGGCAGTGGTCAGTGTTTCCCTGTGGTAAAGACATGCAGTCCATCCTGATCTTCATGGTCTCATTTACTGTTTCCATTGTTATTCCAGTGCTGAACTATGCAATTTCAAATCTACAGTCACGCTCGCATCTTCACTCGGGCCCCATCCCACTGTAGTTAATGAGGGTTTGGATTGAGGAAGAGACAAAGTGGGTGACCAACTTCTCTTGGTGAGAGAGACAAGCTTTCAAAATACACAGAGCTCTTCAGGCCTGGGAAAGGTTCTGAGAGTGTCAGAGCTAAATACAGGGTCAAACCGATAGTTTAGCATAAGTAATTAGCACATATTCTGAGGGACCATTCAAGGTAAAATGGCCTATTAACACCCCTGTAGTCACAGGACAAAAAGGGGAGGGGAGTAGTGGATATAGATTGTTGTAATAAGCCATAAATCCAGTGTCTTTATTAAGACCATGTTTTTTAGTGTCTAGCAAAGTGATTAATTTAAGCTCCTAGGCTCGTCTTTTGAAGGTGTTGTGCAGATTTCCCTGGAGGATGAGGACCGAGAGGTCAGATGTAGAGTGATCGCTTTGGGAAAAGTGCTCACCCACAGGTGACAGAGTGTTTTTTGCCTTTTATCATTTTCCTGTGTGAGCTCATTCGAGAGCATAGTGATTGTCGGGTTTCACACACACAGGTGTAATTGGGCATTTAATGCACTGGATGAGGTACACCACACGTTGTGATAGGCTTGTGTAGGACCGTGGATCTTGAAAGGTGTGTTGTGGGGGTGATGATCATCGTATCGTGGAGCTATGTCTGCAGGTTTTGCATCAATTGTTCTGGCAGGGTCTGGTGCTGCTTTCATAGAATATCAGGGTTGGAAGGGACCTCAGGACGTCACCTAGTCCAACCCCCTGCTCAAAGCAGGACCAAGCTCCAACTAGTTGGTGTGTTCTGGTCTGTGAGGTGCTTGCTTGTGATGATGAGCTTGGAGAGGCTGGGGGGTGGTTTGATGGCCAGAAGAGGGGGTTCAGGAAATATTTCTTTCCAAATAGGGTTCCCATTGAGTGGGGGTGTAATTGTTTGATGTTACCCCATATGGGTTCCAGTGTGAGATGGTAGGGGACAACGAGGGGTGTGCGGTTGGAGGGGGGTCTTATTTCTGTATTGAAACAGTTTCTTTCTGGGGATTTTGGTGGCCTGTTCCATGATGTGATCTACTTCTCAGGTAGAGTGTCCTTGTATGGTGAAGGCAGTTTTAAATGTTTTAAGGTGTATATTCCAGACTTTCTCCTGGAAGAATATTCTGTGGTATCTGAGTACCTGGCTGTAGATAACAGATCTCTTGGTGTGTTTGGAGTGGTTACTGGATCTGCGAAAGTAGGTGTGGTGATCTGTGGGTGTCTTGTATACACTTGTCTGAAGGGTTCCATTGTTGAAGCTGATCACGATGTTCAGGAAGTTGATGCCAGTGTGGAAGTGCTCTGGAAAGAGTTCAATGGACGGCTGGTGGTGGTTGAAGTTGTGGTGAAAATTGATGAGGGAGTTTAAGTCATCTGTGCAGAGGATGAAAATATCATCGATGTACCTCTCATATATCGGATAGTGCCTGGATAATAGCCTGGTCCGGCTGGCAGTGTGCCCAGGCCCGGGCGTATTTGCCAGCTCCTAGACTCTAAGGCCAGAAGGTACCATCATGATCATCTTGCAGGCCACAGAGCTTCACCCACCCACTCCTGTAATCGACCCCCTAGCCTCGGGCTGAGTAACTGACGTCCTCAAAGCATGGTTTAAAGACGTCAAGGGACAGAGAACCCACCATTTACACGAGTTTAAGCCTGCAAGAGACCCTGTGCCCCAGGCTGCAGAGGAAGGCAAACCCTGCCCCCGCCCCGGCTAAGTTCCCTGTAAGCTGCGGGGCCACAGAGCAGCCTACCTAGTGCCACACAGGTGCTCAGGGAACCCTCCTGGGGACCTGCCGCGGCTGGGCGCGGGGCACCCCTCCCTTGGCCCCCACCTAGCCCGGCCCCCAACCTGCTGCAGCGCCCCTCCCCCAGCCCCAACTCTGCTGCGGCCCAGACTGGCGGTCGGGGCGCCCGGCCCGGACCCAGGCGTGGCCAGAGTGGCCCCAGGTGCAGCTGGGGTGGCCCGGCCCCAGGTGCGGCCAGGGCAGCCCTCCCCTGGCCTGGACCTGCTGGGGCCGGGGAAGGGATGCCTATCCTGCAGCCCAACCCCAGAACTACTTCTGCGGGAAGAGGCGCCTCTCCCCCCTCAACCCAGGTGCTTCTGCGGGGAGAGAGAGCTGCGGGGGGGGGGGAATCCTCTCTCCCCACTGTCGCCCCAGAGCACCCTCCTGCACCCCAAATCCCTCGTCCCTGGCCCCACGCCTGAGCCCCTCATCCCTGGCCCCAACCCAGAGCCCGCACCCCCAGCTGGAGCCCTCACACCGCTGCACCCCAACCCTCTGCCCCAGGCCTGAGCCCCCGCCACACTCCGAACCCCGTGGCCCCACCCCCACCACGTGAATTTTGTTATGTGCACATCGATATGAAGGTCATGTGTCACACATCGCCTCCATATTGGTGCACATAAAATTCATTCCGCACATGAGTGGGGAAAAATTAGGGGGAACTCTGCCCCCAGGGTCTCTGACAATCTGACCCGGGGGAAAATTCCTTCCCGATCTCAAATATGGCGATCAGTGAGACCATGCGCATGTGGGTGAGACCCAGCAGCAAGATACCTGGGAACGAATTCTCTGGAGTAACTCGGAGCCCTCCCCATCTAGTGTCCCATCACCAGCCATTGGAGAGATTTGCTGTGTGTAGCAGGTCGGCTACACGCCATTGCGAGCAGTCTCATCATACCATCCCTCCACAAATTTATCGAGCTCGGGCTTGAAGCTGGTTAGGTTTTTTGCCCCCACTGCTTCCCTTGGAAGGCTGCTCCAGAACTTCACTCCTCTGATGGTAGAAACCTTCGTCTAATTTCAAGCCTAAACTTGTCGATGGCCAGTTTATATCCCTTTGTTCTTCAGCTCATTTAATTTCAGCAAATAGGATTGCAGTATGCAGATGAATTGAGCTGCAGGACAAAAGATGGAGACAGGGAAGAGGAGGAACGGGGAAACGGTCACCTATTTCGGATGTCACCTTTCACCATGGAGTGAGCACGGGGCAGCTGCAAGGGAAGCAGCGGAGAGCAAACAAGATGTGTAGGGGAGGGACCTCTGCTAGTGTAACCCACGCACCTCCTGGGGGTGGTGTTCGGTAGTGGCACCGAGATCACTTAGAGCAGACTCATTTTCTCTCTCTGTAGCCTTAGCTAGCAGCCGGCTGGCTTTTAGCTCATGCGGTAGAGGCTCATGCACTAAGCTCCAGAGACCCCGCCCCCCCACCGCTGACGACCGGGGTCTGTCGGCATTACACTAGCACAAGTCCATCAGCCCAGGCACTCTTGCAGAACGAGCTTTAAATGCAGCTGAACTTACTGGGCACTTGTGATTTGTAACCAAATGTTTGGATTGCTTTGATTTTGTACCTGAGGTGGGTTTTGGGGCGCGGGGAGGTCAGTGTTTCGATTTCTCCCCACTGTTCAGCAAAATGTACCAAATAAAGCATGGTGCAGAGAATAAAAACCTGCAAGGAAATATCAGCAGAAACAGCAAAGAAATTAAATCCCCTTTGGGGACTGTATTTTTTGCTTCCCAGCGTATTGTGAGCTGCTGCCGGCCAGCTGCTAACTGGGGACCCTTCCTGGAATGTCACCGAGGAGAAAGGTACAGCCACATGGTAGATCCCCACAAGGAAAGAGACCAGGAGATCCCCACTGTGGATGGCTTCGTGCACAAGCTGCAATGAGACGCCTGCCCTGGGCTGCATTATTTTTTAACACAAATGTATTTTCTTTTTGTTTAATGTTGGAAAATAGTGATTCAAAATATTGAAAGCCATACTATTTATTGTTAGCTCTGCCTGTACAGGGAGGAGCAGGGCATGAAGTAGAGAGGAAAGCCCAAGCCCACAGGCTGGGAGGGCAGGAAAATACACTCCAGCCTCTCAGAACGTAGGGACTGGGAGCAGTCTGTAGTGCAGCTGGCCTGCAGATGCTGCTAAGGGAGGATGTGTTGCACAGGGCTTGGGCCGGGGGGCTCTGTGCTGGGCACGTACCAACAAGCCAGGATCCCAAGGCACCTCCCTGCGCGCTCTGTTTTCCGGAGCTGGCGCACAGCTCAGGCTGATAGGTTGCTGCTCTCTGGCTCAGCAGCCCAGGGGAAGTGAATAATTGCTGCTGTCTGGGCCTTCCTCAGGTTTCTCAGGGCTTTTCATAGAATATCAGGGTTGGAAGGGACCTCAGGAGGTCATCTAGTCCAACCCCCTGCTGAAAGCAGGACTAATCCCCAATTTTTGCCCCAGATCCCTAAATGGCCCCCCTCAAGGATTGAACTCACAACCCTGGGTTTAGCAGGTCAATGCTCAAACCACTGAGCTATCCCTCCCCCCTATTGGTGCTGAGAAAAACGTGCATCTGTGTCATTTGTGTCTCTCGACATTGAGGGGTGACAAGCTGCCTTGCTGATGAGGATAGAAAGTGGCGAGGGAAGTTCCCATAGAGTTATCATTGTTTCCACGGGAATTCCTCCGGGGTCACCTTTTGGTATGGTGTAAATACGGTCAGCATTCACTTGTCTGGTCCTCGCAACCCCAGCTTCCTTAGCACTGACACTGCAGTAGAAACTTTCACCCTGCAGCTTTTGGTCCTTCTGTTTTTCCTGCACCACGCACAGCTTTACCCATCCTTCCCTTCTCTGGAGCCCACACTCAAGGCAAAGCTCCGCCTGGCCAGGGGCGCCGCACCAGGCCTGCATGCTACTTAAGCCTTCAACAAAGAGCACAGGTGGGACTTAAGTGTTGCCCAGACCTTGTGCTGGTGATCTGCACAGGAGAGCAGAATTTCACCCTGAGTGTAGGTTATAATTGCCATTCAGCATTTGCAACGACACCAGCCTCAACCACTCCAAAATCATGAGTGGGGACCCCCAAAATCATGGGATTGGCTTAAAAACCATGAGAGTTGGGTTCTTTTATTTGCCTTCTGGTGTTTGTGGCTTTAGGGTTCACAGTTTTCAGCTCTTCTTGGCATTGATGGGGCTAGAAACTTACTTTGCTTTTTAAATGAAAGCTGAGGTTTGCACATAATCACATGACTCCAGGAGCTGTATCTTTAAGAACAAACACCAAATCTCGTGAGATTTCGGAGCATTGAATTTGTTCATTCATTTGCTGCCAAATATGGAATGGGTGGTCTGGCTAAGGGGTGCTGACCATGCAGACATTGCTTGGAAAGCCCAGCCCCACACAGAAATCATATTAAATGAACAATTGAAACTTGTGCCTGTAGAATAGAGGATTTCTATTTTGCATTATTTAAAAAATTGGGTGGGATTTATTTTTCCCGCATGTTAACTCTGGGGTTTTTTTTGAAACAACATGGCAGGGTGATCAAGTACCGGATCCGCTCAGTGGTATCTTACTAATTCTGGGCTGGAGGGGGGCCGGAGAGCTGAGGGCTGGCTGTGCTGTATACACAGACCTACATTTTGAACTGGCATTTTTATGATAAATTAACTATCGTGTTACTGTTTTTAGCAAATAAAATGTAGAGTTTTTACAACTTTTGGAACCAGATGATCCAACTGGTCTCTCTTGTCTCCCACTGGGTAGAAAATCACCTAAAGAAAGCACCAGCGGTTCTTACCTGAGATTGTCAGAGCAGCTTTGTAGTGCAGCAAGACTGCGGTGTCCTGAAGTGGGGATGAGGGAAGCCCCATCCTGGAGGTGTTTTACTGTGGAAGCCAGGAACAGACATAACAGACCTGGTCATGAGCTGCAATCCAGACCCAGCGCAGAGGGCCCAGATAGCAGCCTGGTTTCCCTAGCTGGCAATTCCTCCAGCATGGAGAAGTGTATGGCTATCACTGAGCCCATGTAGTCAGGTCCTGTGTCACCTGATCCCAGCTGCCCTGGGGAGATGGGGCAAGCTGGAGGCTTGGCTGGAGTGCACTGTTGCTCCTGGGCTGGCAAACAGCCCCCTTGGAAGCTATTAGCTTGAATATGTTAGAGCAGCCTCTAGGCTCTGGGGCCAGGGTTTTCATGGTACCAACCCCTTGGTCCGGGAGCTGCTCTCCAGTGGGAGGCTGGGGACAGAGAGAGAGGCTGGGAGTGAGAATCTCCCTGGCTCCAGCTTGCCTTGCACCAAGCAGAAGAGCTGGCAAGGTGTGAGGAGGGGCAGTGATCTGTGCCTGGCAAAGGGAGGGCAAGGGAAGGAGCAGAGAAAGAATCCAGAGGTTAAGCTATAAATAGAATGTCATACCCCAAATGGGGGGAAAGTGAATCCAGCCCAAAACATGACCCAGAGGCTCAGCAGAGGGTAAACAGGGGCTTTGGAGAAAGTGGATAATACACCCCTCTCCGTGTACCGCAAACGTGCCATACTGCTAGGATCTCCACCAGCTGCAGCAGCCAGGACATCTCTCCTCACCCTCTTCGTGCAGCGCTTCCCTGGCTGGAACTCCCTGAATCACTTTCATGATCCTATCGCAGCTCGGCCTCCCATGTGCGGCCCATAAACGAGACAGCAAGCAGCTTCCCTAGAGCCTGGGGAATCAGGCCAAGCCATATGGGCCAAACCCACTCACAGGTAGGACTCTTGGGAAATCACTCCCGAGACTACAGAGCCCTGGTGGCTGGCATGGCCCCTTGCTGCCACTCCTGGTGAGGCACAATTCCTTCCATGTCTTTAGAAGCCAAGATTCCCCCACCACAGCCCTTGGCCTAACAGCTGAGACAGGTGCTGTCTCCTCACCCATTCAGTCCTCGTTCTTCGGGAGTCGATTGAGCTGATCTCCAGCACAGCTCCTGGGGGAGGGCACAGTCCATTAAAGCTGGGCTCAGCACCCTGCTCGCATCAGGGCTGGTCAAACAATGGGAATTCTCCTTTGCAAAATATTCCAAACAGAAAGGAAATGGTTTGTTTTGTTCAAAATCTTTTTTCCCCCTTTTGGAAGAAATCATTGAAAACAATTTCCTCTTGATGCAAACTGAATTGAATTGAACCAAATACTTTTATGTTTTTTTTTTAAATTCCTTTCCCCTCTTTCTCTCTCTTTGGGGCAGGGGGGAGGGAAAGGGCAGAAAAACCAAACAGAACCATCACTTCGATTCCATTCGGTTTGAATCCAAATGAAAATGTGAGTTTTGATTGTTGGTAGTAGAGTGAGAAGCTTTTGACTGATGTGAACATTTTCATAAGGTCAATAGCTATTTTTTGTCAAATCCCCTCCTCCTTTTTTGACCAAAACCCCTTCCTTCCTTCCCTAATTAATGTCTACGGAATGCCCTTGGGTGGGGTGTTTTACTCTCTAGTCACAGTGCATGTTGGTGTTTGGCCAGTAGGGGACAGTGTGGGTTTGCTGCTTTTTCTCTTTCCTCTCTCGCTCAGGTGCACTCCTAAGATGCAGTATCATGGCACAGCGCTGGGGAAGAGATGGCAAGGTATGCACGCTGTTTGTTGTATTCCAGAGTCTGCCGCCACGCCTAATACGGACTGTTAGACTCAGAGGTGGCCCCTAGCTTACGCTCTTCTTTGTGTTCATGAGAGGCTTCACTGAGGATTTCATTTGAAAGCAGAAATGCTTGTAGCTAAATTTCTTGGTCTGATTCTGGCCTCACTCCCATTTCACAGCAGTTTTACCTCATTGCCATTACTCCCGATTTACATTCGTGTCACTGAGACCAGAATCAGATTCATGGTATCTATTGCTCTTCTTCACACTTGGGTGATGCATGAAAATTCGCCATGATCCTCCCGCCCAAGTTTTAGTCACAGGTGTTTTTAGTAAAAGTCATGGACAGGTCACCGGCTGTGAATTTTTGTTTGCTGCCTGTGACCTGTCCCTGACTGTTACTAAAAATGCCCGTGACTAGAACGTAACCTTACTACGGGTGTGTGGGGGCGCTGCTTCCCGGGCCATGAGACCCTCCGCCCCGACACAGTCATGGGCAGAAGGAAGGAGCAATGAATAAAGGGAAACCGAAGCAATGCCCCCCTCCCGCTGGCCTTGCAGAATGCTCAGTGCAAACGAGGCAGCAATTACCGCAAAACATGCCATCGAAAAACAATGGCTTCCCCTGCACTCCTCTCAGCTGGCAGGCCCCCGACCACCCCTCCGGATACACTGCGGCACAAAGGTATTTTCCCTTGTGATCCATGGACAGACATTTGCTTTTGCTTTAGCTGCTACACCTGGCAGCATGGCCCCTGTGCATTCCTAAGGGGCTGGCACCAACTGCCGCATTTTTGTGGCAGAGCGATTCAAGCAAATACGTGTTCAGCTCCCCAGTTGTCTCATCCATTTCTGGGGGGCGGGGGGTGTCTCCTACCACAACACTCCTGGCAGCTTAAAGGGCGTTGCAGGGAAGCTGCGTAGTTCGGCACATGGAGACAAGCTGATGGGAGCTGCATGCACTGCTATGCAGAACGCATTGATGTCCACGGGCCTCTTTGCACTGGTGCTCTGTACTCCCTGCACTGCATTTGTCAACTAGGTGCAGGCAAATGGGCTCTTCAGCAGCTCGGGCTGGAACACATTAGTTTTGTCTGCGGCTTTTGGGGCAAGAAACCAGTATCTGGTTGCAACGGTACAGTCCCAATGGTCGCTGCTGTTCTCCAGCCTGCACCAGAAGGGCTGGAATCCCCCCCCGGCCTTTGCACAAGTGTGCAGTGGGGAGCAGGGGGGAGCGAGTGTGCAGAGCCCTTTGCCCTGCTCCTTGTGCAGCGTGGGTCAGAGATGAGCACTCCTGGGAGTAAGGGGACAGCTCATTCCTCTTGCCAATGGGACTGGCTCCCCCCCAGCCCCACACGCACTGCTCAGCAGAGCTCACAGCCACATGAGGAGCGCTAAAGCCCTGGGAGTGTGGACACCAGGTGCCCAGGATAGGGCTGCTCAGAAAATGGATTAGCCGTTCAGTGAGGAATTCCTCCAGTTTGAGCTCTGGTTTCCATCTGAACCTGAGTGAGAAGCTGCGGTGTCCTGCGGAGTGCCAATCCCCCTCCCCCCCGCCCCAGCTTTGAGTCAGGAACGCTGAAATGTTTCGTATTCTTCATTTTCTTCGTGTCGTGACAGCGTAACGCAATGTGAAGCCATCTATTGTATAACAGCCATCTAAGTGTGATGTGATATTTAAGTTAATAGGTCAATAGCATAAGAAAGTTAAAACAAAATGAACTGAAATGCTCAAGGCAAAACAAGAGGGTTTTGCCCTGTCGAAAGGAGACGTTTTGACAACAAAACGAGAAAGTTGCAATGTTTCATTTCAGCTTTTTTCTGTATAAACTTTTGTCGAAGTCGAATGCTTCAGCTTGGACATCCCTGCGTTGTCTGATGGCCAGCTGGTGTCTTTCCATGGTTTTGACCAGCTCTACCCAAGAGGCCCCTGAGGGGCCAGCTCCTGATCACACGGTATCAGTGCTGTATCCCGAGCAGCGTTCTCCTGCCACGGCCGAGCCAGGCTGGCGGGAACAGGGAACACACGTGCGCCACTGTGACGGGCCTACACGGGGAGCAGTGCATCAGCCCCAGGGTCTGCAGGGACCTTCGTCACTTTCCCCTCTTGCTTTGCAACCGCCTCTCAGGGAGTTCCTTGGGCAGCTGCCATTGTTGTCTCAGGATACGTTGCCTGACCTTCTGGCATGAGAGAACTGGGGAGGGGAATGCAAGGAGGGGGTCACCGGCAGTACTTTCAGCTTGGGGACACCCAACAAAATCCTGCAGAAAACATATTGCCCAGGGGAGCCAAGGACCAGGGTCGGCATATGGAAACAAGGAGGCCCCATATAGATAACCCTGGCCTCCAGTGGATGTCCTGAGAGCAGGTAAGAGGTGTCTCCAACCCCTTCTCCAAAGGACGAATCAGGAGAATACAGGGTACGTCTAGCCTGAAATGTGGGCTGTGATTGCAGTGAATCGAGCCAGCTCAGGTCCCAGAGCAGTGAAGCCGTGGCAGCTGGCACGTCAGGGCAGGCTGTACTGGTCTGCCTGGAGCCCCAGGGAGCTCTTGCGGTGCAAGCCCACGCTGAATTCTGCGCTGCCATGAGCTTCGCTGCTCCACTGCCCAAGCTAGCTAGAGTAAAGGAAGTTTACACTTGAAATTAGACGACGGTTTCTAACCATCAGAGGAGTGAAATTTTGGAACAGCCTTCCAAGGGAAGCAGTGGGGGCAAAAGATCTATCTGGCTTTAAGATTAAACTCGGTAAGTTTATGGAGGAGATGGTATGATGGGATAACATGATTTTGGCAATTAATTGATCTTTAAATATTCATGGTAAATAGGCCCAATGGCCTGTGATGGGATGTTAGATGGGGTGGGATCTGAGTTACCCGGGAAAGAATTTTCTGTAGTATCTGGCTGGTGAATCTTGCCCACATGCTCAAGGTTTAGCTGATCGCCATATTTGGGGTCGGGAAGGAATTTTCCTCCAGGGCAGATTGGAAGAGGCCCTGGAGGTTTTTCGCCTTCCTCTGTAGCATGGGGCACGGGTCACTTGCTGGAGGATTCTCTGCTCCTTGAAGTCTTTAAACCACGAGTTGAG